AGCCGCAAGGGCAGCAGCGCTTCGGCGTCGGGGCTGAAGAAGCTCCTGTGCAGCCTGAGCCAGAGCACCAAGCAGCGCCTGGGCCGCTTCCGCTGCTACAGCATGGAGCAGCTCCCGGCCCCCAGTGGCACCCCCCCGGATGGCCCCGGCATGAAGAAGTCGCCCTCCCTGCAGTCCCTGCGGCTGGTGAGCCTAAATGTCCCCCCCTCCCCGCAGAGGGGTGTCTGTGGGAGGACAAGGATGGTCCTGCAAGAGGAGGGGTGCTGGACTGGGGTGAAGCACTCCTGAGCATCGCTTTATGGCCCCGGCAGTCCCAGGGGGTGTGGGGGTACGTGCCATCCCAAACCTGCTGGGTTTGAAAAGTCTGGAGCTAAATGGCGGGTTGGAGGGGGAAGGAGGGAGTGAGGGGCAGGGTGGAAGAGCAGATTTGGAGAAGGGAAATGGGGTAATTTGTTTCTGGGTCATGGCTGCTGTGTCCCAGCCAGCTGAGCAGTGAGGGGCCTCCCCAAGGAACCCTACTCCTTGGGCGGTTGTCCGGGCCCGGGGCGGAGGGCACTGGCTCATCCCTCCTCAGTGGTGGTTTGGGGAGGGCTCTGGTGGGGAGACAGGGACTGTGGGATGCCCCCGTGCCCCGGGCATGCTGGCAGGTGAAGGGCTGCGGTGCCACACGGTGTTCACGGTCATCCCCACCTCAGCCGGGCGCTTTTCCCTAGGTGTCACCGTCACCCTTCTGCCAGCCTCAAAAAGCGGCCTCCATCCAGAGCCTGCACCCCCTCCTGGGCAAGGCAACCCGTGCCAGCGCCTACCTCCTGCCCCAGACCCCAGCCGACAGGTAGGAGGGGGGCCTGGCACGTCCCTGCCATGCCCGGGAAGGCTGTTTTGGGGTGCTCAGCCGCACGCGGCGGCTCAGTGCAGCTGGGGGCCCCATCACCTGGTCCCCAGCAGCTTCCTGGGGTCCCTGCTCACCCCATCTCCCCTCTCCCCACAGGAAAGGGGGCTCAGGGCCGCGGCGCTCGCTGAGCGTGGAGGACATCGGGGCGCCCGGTCGGCTGCGTGCAGTGGGGCGCGTGGTGGAGGTCTTCCCCGATGGCACCAGCCAGCTGGAGCTGCAGCGACCCCCCCACGGCGCCTTCGGGTTTTGTGTCACCTCCGGGCACGGCCGGCCCGACACAGGTACAGTGGGGTCATCCTAAATCATCTCACGAGCCTCAGGGGAGGCACAGCACAGCCCCTCTGTGGTGGTGGCTCTCGCCCCTCCCCGGGAGCAATCTTGGGGATGGGTGGAGGGGGCTGCTCCCTCCCCGCTGAGCCCCCAGGGGGTGATGGTGGATGGGGGGGTGCTGCCACATGTGGCTTTGGCCACGCACAGTCCCGTGTGCCCCTCAGCCCGTGGCTTGGGACACGCAGCCCGTCCCAAAGGCCATTTATAGTGAATTTGTTGCTGTGTACAGGCCCCGCGTGCAGCCCCTGGGCACCCTTGGGGTGCAGGGTGGGGGCTCACCCGTCCCTCTTTGCAGGTGTCTATGTGCAGGAGATGGCGGACGCCGGCACGGCCAAGCTGTACGCGGGGCTCCTGGGTGTGGGGGACGAGATCCTGCAGGTCAACGGGGCGGCTGTTTCGGGGCTGGGGCTGCCCCCCATCCGCGAGCTGCTGCTCCGGGCGGACACCCTGTCCCTCCGTGTGCTCAGGCACCGCCCGGCACCCCGGTAGCCTCGCCATGGATCCCGGGAAGCCCGGGGGGAGGAGGACAATGTCCCACCAGCATCCCGGGATGCTGCAGGACGGCACGGCGTGGACCAAGCAGCCCCGCGGCGCCAGGACCTGCCCAGCTCCGGTGCAATACCTGGCTCCCCGCTGCGGTGGGGGCAGGCGGGTTTCCCGGCCCCCCGGGAGGCAGAACGGGGCTGAGGACTCCCCAGACAGCATCCAGTGTCTGCAGGAGCTGCCCCGAGTGTGGGGACAGGGACAGCCCAGCCCTGCCATTGAGCCAGGGTGGGTCTGTCCTGCTGGGCACTGGGGTGGCCCCGTCCCTGCATCCCCAGGAGATGTGGGGTTCCCTGCCACCGCTGGAAACCTGCGCCTGCAGGCTGGTGGGTTTCTTTTAAATTATTTCAGACCGCAAAAAATATATATATGTGTGCATGTATAATCACGAAACACGGTGCCCTTGGCTTGTGGATGGCACAGAGGGAAGTGCCCCAGGGCTGGTGTAACTGTGGTGGGTGGCTCATCCAGGGGGCTGAGCTCACATCCTGGCTGCAGGGTAGCAGGGGG